AAGTCTGAAGAGCAACAGTACACTTATATAGCCGCAAAGTATCTCCCATAGATAGTCATTAATTACAAAGAAGACATGAGTAACCTGACAGTGGAGAAATCTGGTGAACACCACCTAACACAAAGTAAGCATCACCAGCAATGAAACCAATATTCACCACCAGCCTCCAGATGATATGTACTGAGAAGAACAAAAAATGCCAAAAATGCATAACCTGAATCTAATCGGGAGGAAACCTTAGACAACCCAAACTGAGGGGCATCCTGGATAATAACTGGCCTAGATTCTTCAAAAGTCTCAAGGCTGTGAAAGACAAGGAAAGATGGGAATGGTTGCAGAGGCTGTAGAGACATGACCTTGGAATGCCCTTGAGCCTCTCGCCCCGCCCCTTGGCCCCCCTTTGGCCCCGCCCCACCCTCTCTGGGTCCCACCCTCTGATCCCTCTCTAGGCCCCACCCCTGCCCCTCTAGGCCCCGCCCACTCTGCTGGGCCTAGAGTCCCCCACCACCCCACCCCTGCATAAGAAACCAACAAGTGGGCCCTTCCCAGGAATCTCTTAACAACATGGTGTGGGAAATCAGAAAGCCAGTGTCCAGTCCCTTGAATAACTAGGCTCAGGCGCCCATCATCAAAAGGGGGAAACGCCATCATCTGCCCTGCAGGATTTCACACGCTGAGGTGGGTGAGGAGCTTGGACAGCAGTAACGTGACTCTGATTTATTCAGGTCTGTTCTCTCATAGGCAGTGTTTAAACGCCATCACCACTGAGGGCCCCCATTCTTCCTTGGTGCAGGTCTGGGGTGTCCGTGGCCCCTCCAGGAGCATCGGCCTTGCATCCTGACCCCCAGCTCGGGAGGGAGCTTTTCAGAGGGCGCCCAGCACTGGCCCTGCTTGTGGCCCTGGGCAGGGACAGCAGCTGGTGTGCACACTGCTCCTGGCTCAACCCACTTCCCTCTGCTTCACCGAAAATCCATTTTTTTTCCTAAGGAAAAAGCTGGCATGTGACTAACATACTTTCCCTGAGGAAATAAAGGCTTTGCTTTAGTATTAACTCTTAATTGTTTAAAAAGTTTAGTTAAGAAAAATATCCTCAGTTCAAAATTCCAAGTTACTGCTTAGTCTCCAGAAATGTTCTAGAATCTTCTGGGGATGAACGAGAGGTCCAAGAGCCACTCACTCTTTC